CTGAACTCTACAGTGAAGCTGTAATCATGTGTTTACAATGTATATTCAGCTAGTTGCCTTGGAAATGGTTGTGGTGACTCATAGCCAGCATTATTTGACCTCAGCGCAGGATTAACCACGAACAAGAGACAGAGTGTGGGAGACCAGCCTTTGTTTAAACCTCATAGCCTAGGTAATTAGGAGGATATAAAAATATGAAAACCATGTGTACAAGGAACAGCTCCTAGCCAAAACCTCTTTCACTTAAAGGTTTGGGTGACCCTCTTCCCTCCCCACTGCCCCCCTGCAACGTAGGCATCCAGTGCAAAAGAGCCCTACATCAGGCGAACCAACTTCCACTGTAAGTGTTTCACCGATGAGCTGGCCGGCTCTTGTACTCAGGCCAGCAACTCAGCCTAAGTTTGACTTCCACTAGGTTTCCCACAGCTTGATCATACTGGTTGGTCATAAATAGAATTTGAGGGGGGGGGGGGGGGGAAAAAAAAAAGTGGGGGGGGGGGGGGGGGGTAAAATTAAAATAAAAATGTTTGAAGAAACACGATGCAAAAAAACCCCAAACATTTTTCATTTCCTTTCTGAACCCTTTCTGGCAGTGTAATTGTGACCCCAAGGCACCAGCATCGTAGTGGTATAAACAAGCAAGAAAGAGAAGCTGCTGTGTGGTTTTGGTGCCTAAACTAAGGGGCATATTTACATGTAAAAAGATCCCTCATAAAGAATTAATGTTTAAGTAGTCTACATAACATAAGGTAGTGCTAGGCAGGCGCTTTTCAAAAATGTTATTCTGGCAGTGTCCCTTTAAATTGCTGATTACACAGGCAAATAAATGCTACATAGTCTGAAAGTCTTTAAACAAAAATTATCATTCCCCAGATCCAAAGTTTGCTACATTTTTTCCTCCTAACCTGCTCTTGTATGTGAATCTTTATGATTGGCTATATGATAACATATCTCTACGTGCACTCTTGATTCACTATTCAAACATAAGCTTTTATTTCTGTGCAGGACAAAAAGGAGGAAGGAACTTGCATCCATAATCAGAGGTTGGATTCTAGGGCGAGATTGTTACGAAGAGAGCATTTTCAATTAAAATATTAGGTTCTGAATTTGGAGGTACCGGTCAGCAGAGTACATAACAGATCAAGTCGCTAGCTGTGATAGCTTTGAAACAGGCAGCCCTTGATGGTGCTGCCCCAATAAGACAGAGAGGAAGTATCTAGTGATTGTACAAATACATAAGCAAAAAAGGATCAGACCTCGTCTTTTGTAGCTCGCTTTATGGGTGCTTGTACACATGACGGGGTTTAATCCCCAGGGTTTCATTTTATGCTCCCTGAATTGAAATGGTGGGTTTTTAATTGAAAACCACTGTTTAAATTTTTGCGTTGTGTTATGGTGTGGGGCCCGATCCTCCCCCTCCCCCCCCCCGAGACTGCTGGCCTCTCCCATGGCTGGGGGGCAAGCTGCCAGGGGGCCAAAAGGCCACTGAGCTGCAGAGGGCCCTGGTCCTTCCCTCCACAGTGGCAGTGCTTTCCAGGCCCACCCAGGGAAGGGGTACTAGTGGGCTGGGGGCTGCCGTAGCTCGGAGACAGCACCTGGCCAAGTCCAACTCTTCCCCGAGCCCACTGGAGCTTCCAGGATACCATGCACTGTCACCAGCACCTTCCTGCTGCCTGGGACACCCGGGGAGTGGGCTAGCGTGCCCCTGGGGCAGTGTGGGGAGGTGGCAGGAGGGCAGCTACATGTGCTGACAGCTGGAGAAGGCAGTAGGGACTGAGCAAAGGGTGCTGGAAGACTGGGCAGGCTTGGGGAAGCTCGGGCTTGGCGGGCTTCCAGTGCCCTGTGCAGAGTCTCCACCACCTTCTTCAGCTTCCAATACCATGGAGCCTCTCCATGCTGCCCCAGGGGCAAGCCAACCCATTCCCGGGTGGTCTCAGGTGTTGGGAAGGCATCAGGGACTGTTGCATTGGGGCACTGGAAGCCCCAGAGGGCTCAGGGAAGAGTTGGATCCAGCTGGGTGCTGTCTCCAAGCTGAGGCAGCCCTCCTGGGCAGGCCCAAAAGGAAGGACTGGAGCCCTCTGAAGCTCAGGGGTCATGGGAGAGATGGGCAGGCTCTTTTGCCTTCATCAGGCGCCTGCTGAAGGGAGAAGTGGTGAGGGGCCTGATCCTTTTTTTCGGCAGAGCCTGCCCACCTCTCCCACAGCTGGGGGGTGGGGGGCAAGCTGACAGCTGCATTGTTGCAAACTAAACTACATGAGGATGTGGTTTAGTTTTCAGCGTTGCAAACTCATTTGAAATCCCCAGACCTCAAGCATGTGTATTGTGTGGTGCTATTAAGCCACGCGAAGGAAACTTTTGTCACGTGTACATGGTGACAGTCATCACATGTACAAGTGCCCCATGGCTTTATAGAAGGAGTAAGTTTGTGTAACTGTGTAAGCCAGCAGTCTCCCCAGAACATGTACATGTTTTTATACCTATTTTCTTGAAATGTAGTGAGACTTTAGAAAATGCATTTTGCTAGTTTTAATGCTGGATTAGGCCTGAAAAATTCCCACCAACTGCTGGATATACTGTGAGTTTCAGTCAAAGGTGTCTTATTCTAAAATTGTTAAATCTTGTATTCCCATTGTTAATTAGCATTGGGGCTGAGAGAGGGTGGGTTGGAACGGGAAAATGTTTTTAACTTTGAAACGTGTTTAACTTTGAAGCAATGATCTCAGCAGTCCGTAAGAGGAGAAATACGGGTGGGAAAATCAGGCTGTCCCGGATTTGTACCAAGACTTGTATAATTAGTCAAATGGCACCTGTCTGTTTGTTAGGTGGTGGCAGATAACTTTGATTTATAGAGTTTCTGTTTCTTTTCAATACTGCTGAAATCAAGATTAGTAAGAACTGTGCTGGCTCATGCTTTGATCTTGAGATATCTCAGGAGAGGTCAGCTACACATGTATTTAATATTTCTTACACCTTTTAGTTACAGACTTACAGTCCAATGGCAACACAAGTGCCCTAAAACAGATGTTCTTTCCTGTTCTTGCCGCATCCAGGAGAGATTTCTTCAGCTGAACGGTTCTAAAACCTTTTGATTATTTAGAACTCTTAAAATAATAAAGACCAATAATAGATGCATCCCCCTGAATTCACTGTACATCATAGGTGTGTACTTATTGCAATAGGATCTTGTTTTATAATGTTTTTGACCATTTTGGATTTCCTTTGTCTTCAGATAGTCTTTTCCTGAGCTGCCTGGCTCAGCTGTTTCT